AAAGAAAAAAGTACTCCTAAATGAAATCTTGCATTTAGCGGTCAGAGTGATCATTAGTGTGTGGAAAATCCACACACTGTTCTGGATGAAGATAAGAAACAGTAGGAATAATCACTAATAATTCTAGTACATTGCGTGAGCAGATGGCCTAAAGTATCAAATGTTTTATCAGTCTTACTGTTTCTTACATTGCGATGGATAAAAAAAAAAATACACATGATAAACTGTGGCTGAGACAATGAATGCTTCCATCCATCATTCTGGGCTTCTCTTATTCCAGCCCTGTGACTGAGTTTATGACACCTTGGCAGGGAGGTTCCTACAGAAGCTAATGCTTAGACTGAGCACATGAATAATGCATTTATACCCCATAAAAGCAAGGAATGTTAATTTTAAGAACAAGAGATCTCTATTTCACTTCATTGAACCAGACCACAGTGAAATATTTTAAAAGTCCTAAGCAGATCATTCACAAAAATTTCGGAACTTATCTAACACTAGCCTTTATATCACTGCTGAAACTGCATTTGTTCTCGAGAGGCCATCAAGCTTTTAAAAAATTGTGTGACGATCCTAAAGGAAATCTCGCTTTAAGAACACAAGCTAAAAATCTAACAGAAATCCTCCGTAAGCTGCAGGCACTCCCCCCCCACGCACTGACGGGCTTGGCACAGCGTCCAGGCACGGCCAGCTCTCTGCTGGGGGCCACGTTCTTGGCTGTGAAGGCAGAGCGTGCCCTCTGTCACTCATGGCGAGCAGTCCTGTCCAACTGTCTCTTTTCGACAACTTTATCATCAATCTCTTTATTAACAGCTCCACTGCAGACGGAGAACGCAAGCACGGCCAGCGCGCATGCCAGGTTTCGGGAAGGCGCGCAGCTTCAGACACCACGCAGGGCAGGGCGTCGGTAAAGCCGAAGCAGCAGCTGTAGCGCAAAACTCTTACTCACCGTTTTAAGAAGTGTCCTGTTCGTTATCTTTACTTAGAATCAAACTTCTAATTGGGGAGAGGCAGAGGAGGGAGAAGTTATTCCTCAAACGTACAGGATCGCTTCGCCCCACTCCAGTTTTACTTTAATGCCGTTTGAAATGCCAGATGAACGACGGGTACGTGACCTACCATTCTGTTCAACTTCAGCCATTTCATCTGCTTTAGGTTAACGTATTACCCTAACTGAAGCAAACATCACAGAAATAATCTTAGGTGAACTGAAAAGTTTGAATTGATGTGTAGATTTTAAACATGTAGAATGTTTACTTAAGTAGCCTTATTAAGAAAATTTACTCCTAAATATATAAACATAAAATGCAGTCATGAAGTAGATGTGCTAGCTCGCAAGCAAGACAGACAAAAAGACATTTGCACTTGTAAGCTGTCCGGTATCTGTGTGGGCCACAGTTATTATGGGGCAGTTTAAATGCATTGGCTATTTTCTTAAGTTAAAAAAAAAAAAAAAAAAATGCAGCTTTCCTTACCCAACAAGTTGGAGTTTTGATCACCTTACATCAATAGTAATTTTCCTCTTTATCCTTTCCTGTTACTTGCCTGGACTCTAGCTCATATTTAAAGACAGTAATTTACTGCAAAAAACAAGCTTGATAATATCTGCATATTGCAAAGGCACGGGTTTTTTCCAACCATTAGTATGCTGTTAAATTTTTCTAAATTCAGTATCTTTAGAGTTTATGAGGTAAAAGTTTAATACAGTGTGTACAACATTGTCACTCAGCTTATTTTAAACATTTCAGTAGAATACAGAGGTCATTAAAAATACAGACATGTTGAATAGAAACTGTGATTTGGTTAATTCATTAAGTGTGGGATGAAGAAAATAAAAAACTTACCTGAAGATAGCATTGCAGGATTTAGTAAGAACAATACAAATATGCCTAAACTTTATTAAAAAAAAAACAAACAAACATTAAATACCCCAAAAACAGATGGGACATCCACCAGTGGTTCATTGTATTATCTTTTCCATAATAAAAAAATGCCCTCTGAAGTTTGATATCAAAGTTTGCATTCTTCTGGTGACAACAGTGGCAGATGTTTGATGACTGTAAATATTTCAAATTATTAGTTTGAACTTCGTAGAAGTATCAAACTGCATTTGCCTCTATCAACAAGTCCAAGATGCTTTGTTTCTACTGAACAGATCCTTAATTCTACGAAATTTATTAAACTAATTTACTGACATTTTTTCAATACAACCATTGGATCTTTTAAAAAAGTGAACCTACCAAGCACTCTGCTAATGTACATGTATACAGACATCTGTGAGTATATTATCAAGACTTGCACATTAGGTGACAACATTTTTCGTAAGCGTTCTTCAGCCCCAATGATGCCATTGTGAGACAGATTAAGGACAGCAAAGCTACCCGACTAGTGTGTTTATGTAATTTTAGAAAGGATGCCTTTTGTACAAATGCACACAAGTTCAAAAAAAAGTATGTATTATGAGAAAATAAGCATACTCTGCTTCCTCAGTATCTAACACAGTGGTTTTTCTTGCATTTAACCACAGATTCTAGCTTAGTCATATCTAGCATGTTCTCGCCATCCTGAATTATTTTTGGTTATTCTAGAAGCTGAACAACTCAGTTTTAACTTTTACTGTTGATTAAAATTGGTTTTCTCATTAAGGTACATTTACTATCATTTGATACTCATTACTATTCAGTTATATACTTGTAGCTGAAAGTATAAAGATTTTGCAGTTAAAAAAAAAATGTACTAAGAAATGGCATGCACACATATTACCTACAGCAGGGAAGCACAACTTTAGCTAGAACTCTCAACTCACATGTCTGATTCAAATCAGTATGTCTAAAGCCATCTGTTAGAATCATGGCTTATTAATGTTAACTATTTTGGCTACAAAAGTAATTTTCAGCTTCTTGTTTGCAGATCTTTATGAGTCCATGAGCTTACTTCTGGAGGTTCATGACAGGTAACTCAGAAAAAGCAGCCTATTGCCAGTAGATTGTGAAACACTGAACAGAAATTTGTATATCTACTAGCAGATTTTTATTGGTTGGAGAAAATAAAAGAGGAATTAAAGCCATAATAACATCAGCTGTGATGAAAAGGAGACGGGGTGGGCAAGATATAAAGATGATGAATCTGTTCGAAAAAAGACAAGCAATTGCATGCTGTGAAAAATATATACAACACAAAGGTTTATTGTTTTAGGCAAGATAATTATAATATTAAGACCATAATCATCAGTGGTTTTAGCAGTTAAAGAAATTTCAGTCAAAAGGAGGCTACTTAAAGTTACTCACATCAAGCATTTGGAGGATTGGGCTCATGCTGATCCAAAGATCAATCAAGTGATGCACAGCTACTTGTAATTTTTACTTTTATTTCAGAGCAAGCTTAAACTATTTAACAAGAAGAGAAATAGTGCCATCTGCTGACATAAGAAATAGTCACTTGCAAAAAAAGCAAGTGTAAGATGCCAGAACTGTTACAGCTGAAGTTTTTTAAAAATGGAGTTCAAACTTTTAAAGAAAATAGTATAGCCCCTAATTGTTTATGTACACATTTCTTCTAGGTTTTTTTCAACTTTTAAGAACTGAAGATTTTGAGATGGACTCCTAATCAGGAGACAAGGAAGGGATGCTCTTAGAATGTGCTCTTTTTGGCAGTAAACTCTGCCCCTGCCAAGCCACTGCACAATCCACAGCCTTTCCCTTTAACAGACTAGAACTCAACATCCTGCTGAGTGTTACTTCTACTTCCTATATCTAGGATATAGGAATATATCCTAGGATATAGCATCTATCCTGTATCCTCTATCATCATTCTTATTTAGAAAACATTCATTTATGTACTATTTCTTTTAGGACATAGTAAAGTTTCTGGTAACACAAAATACAAGAGCTAAGTATGAATTAAGACAGTAAAATCAACTTTGCAAGTTCAGAAAAATCAGACAGCTATGGGATTGTGCTGTTTTTTATTGTGTTTTCAATGGAGAAATACATCATCTGTTTACAAAATAGCTCTTGAAAAATACAAGGAGTACAGATACTATAAAACAAAGCAAACTCCAGTCATGAGACACTACGTACATCATGCGAAAGCAACAGTCTGATCTCCAGGTTATGAAAACTAGAATTAAAAAGTCACTATACAGAAAGGTTCCAAGTTTCCAGCTTGGCAAAACTTGGGTGCAGTTACATGAAACGTTTAATAAAATGAAAAAGATTTTCCGATGTGTAAACAAAATGACAAGACTAAATTTGTGCCTGGCAATTTCGATCTAAACTCCATAGCTACACAAAATACACAGACACCTTGTACACTTCAATTGTTAATATAACCTTCTTTGGGGGGTGGACGACAGCAGGCTGCACAGGGCAAGGAAAAGAGAAATATTGTATACTAGACATCTTAGACAAATGGAAAAAAAAAAACCAAACCCTTCAGTTACTGCACAGCCTAAGTAAAAGATAAGCTACACTCTGACTTTGGAGAATTAATTTAGAAGGATAAGGGGAAGAGTGTAAGTAATTTAATTTTAACATGAAAGATGCACATGTAGTAGGATGAAGCACAATGGGAGAAGGGAGTTCATAAAACATGCTAATCAAAGTATGGGAAGTATGATTTGACATCCCACGTATTTCAGACTTAAGTAATAGTAACATGAAGTTTGTTATCTACATCTGGTATTACTGTTGGTATCCCTCATGTTCCTCAAATACTGCTGTTCTTCACCATGAGAGATTGATTCAGTTCTTTCAAAAGAAAAAGTTGTTACTTATCTTTTTTGTTAGGACTACAAGAACAAAAAATAGGAGTAAGAGAGCTTACTAGATGTCAAGTGCTTACTAGAAATATGATTTTTAAAAATTCAATGTTGTTCAGTATGTAAAACTATTTCTGATGAGCCATCTAAAAATAAAAAGGTTAAAATTCTTAGGGAAAAATCTTTTTGCCTTTATTTAAAATTTGAAGCTTTTTAATGAATACAGGACTTTCATGGAGTGTACAAAAATCATCTTATATTAAGTGATTCAAAGGCCATCAAGACAGGTGTTGTATTTCACAGGCACGCAATATTTACTTAAACACTTTAGTCATGGGACAAAATTTTGAATTTGTGCCTAAAGGCCACAAGATTTTATGATTAGGTAAGGGGCAGGGGGGAACTCAAATGAGGGCCTGGCTTATTTTTATTTTGTATAAGTAACTGTTGTCCTATATTGGTGCATACAAGCTGCAAAAAAACCCCAACATTAAACGCAAAAGCTTTTCCCAAGAAATAAAGGGATCAAAAAGGGAGTAAGGAGTTTGATTAGCTCAAAGTAAAGTTTATTTGCCATTTGACTGCTGATCTGTATGCACCTTAAAACAATCCTATAAATAAAAGTAGACCACGTCTTAATGATGTCCCACCAATACCAAAACTTCCCAATTACTTCCTCAACATAAGTCTTATAACCTCAAGATTTGACATTTCATTTTAAAGGCTTACTGCTGCTTGATGGCAGTTGAACTAGATATACTACACACTTCGTTTTCAGTGTATAGTATATCATAGAACATCATCCAATTTGCAGATTACTATTAATTATTACTATTGAAGATTCTTCAATAAAACGAAAGTGTATCAGCTGAAGATCTAAAATTAGTCATACTCCAATAAAAAAAGTACATAAAAGTGCATTTAAGGGATTCTTATGCCAGTTTTATCTCAATTTTGAAACAATGCATCAAACAAATTCAATCAGAATGTCAAATATGGCTACAAATAGTGTTCATGTTTTTAAAGGCAGTAATCCTTCGAAATATTTAATGCAACTGTTGCTAACACATTAATTGTACTCCTGGCTTCACATACTAACCTGGACTTCCAATCAAGTGGTGATTTTAGCCCAGAAAGGGAAGTGCACAAAATATACCTAAATCCATTTACGATCATGTTCTAGTCTTGCACTCTCCGTTCTCCTTTTTTTCTAGTATTAGAAGACAACAGGTTGAGTTGGCAGATACTGTTTATGGACCCCTGAGGTTGTTTTTACCGGTTCAATCTCAATTTTATTGAATTCTTGATAACAGGAATAGGATTTGCAGGGAGAGCAGGGATATCTGAAAGGTCTGTACTGGGTGTTTTCTGAAAAGAAAAGAAGAAGTTTGGTTGTATTTTAGCTTTGTAAATACCAAAATAAAAATATTGTGGTAATTGGCACTAACTTTCAAAAACAAATTCCTTACAAGAGTTTTTAAGAATATAGCAAGATAAGGATAATTAGAAATTATAAATATAGCAGCAGATATTCCTGTTGCCTACACAGTCATTATTAAGGAAAATTTGTACAAGAGCCTGTTTCATAGCGTGCATTTCCTGTTTCGACAACTGCAAGAAATTAGGAAGTCCTGCAGATAAAGCTGAGCCTACTAATGACCTGTATTATAATAAAACATAATATCCAGATAATAAGTGTGCTTGATCAGCGACATCTACTATCTGATCTACATGTTTACTATTTAAAAGTTCCTTTGAACAATTCAGCCCTTTACAGTGGAATGATAAAAACCTGTCCCCAATGCAAAGTATGTGTCTTTCATACATTCATATTTCAGGCTGTTTAAAAGCTGTTTACAGCCAAATTTCCAACTTTTCATATCGGTGTAGAGTTACATGGAAAACGTATGATGAACTCTAAAACACTGCTTTATGACTGGGTTAAGAATTTCACGTTGAAAATAATCTGAACACTTTTTTCCTCACTTAAAAAACTTAAATCCCATTCAGCAAAATTTTATCGAAAGCCAAATAAAGAAAAACACAGAAAAGGAACGCGCTCAAGATTCAGGACGATTCATTAATTCCTCACATGCCTAACAAGCCTCTATTGTTGTGTTTGGGAGGGTTGGGGTTTTTTTAAAATTTTTAAGTATTTCTCCTTCACTTCGGCAGATTATTTGTCATCCTAATAACCCAGTTGTTATGTGTTACTTCCCATGATTTATCAGAAAATGTTTTCTTGTTATAAACATTCAAAATTAGTATAAGGTACATTTGATACATGGGAAAAACTCCATTAAAACGACTGCTTTTAATTGTTGTTTTATTAAAAAGAAATCAATCGAGTTAACACCGACTGACAGTAGCAAAGCACAATGCAACAGGGACTCAGGGCAAAATAGTTTTGACCTCCCGCCTCCCCCCAGTAGCCCACTCTGGTTGGTGCTGACCTGCAGCTTAACATGTTTCTATTTTCTGCAACATGAGCAGTGTTTTAAACAAAGCCAACAAGAATACTGAAAAATAACAGAAAAGGCCATACTTCTGCAGTTTCTAGATTACTTTGCTAAAGTAACAACTACTCAATTTGTAAAAGCTACAAAGCTTTACTAATCATCCCTCAAAAACAGGTAAAACAAACTTGGTATACTAAATTACCTAAAAATTTCCCTGAAGCAATTTAGAGTACCCATGTAACATCTAGACTTTTGCCAGTTTTAGTACCTTTATTCAGAACTGCTCACATAGTTCATGAAAGTGATAATAAGAACTGTTGTTTTGTAACAAAAAGTTACAAAACAACTTTTTGGGTTGGGGTTTGTTTTTTTTTTTAATAGTCTGGTAACAAAAACAATACCATTAATCCTTTTGCAATATATCTCCATTTTTAATCAATATATTTACTACACATCATTAAATGAGTAAAGTGCATAAAATGTTTTTGCGATGGTGAAACTTTAATCAGTAGAGCAGTAAGAGAAGCTTAAAAATGCTAGTAAAGACAAAGACGTGTTCTCTAAATGTTGTTACAACATTAGGAACAAAAATTCAACTGAATACCACAGAATTCTTAACTTAGTATCTATTTTTCCAATGCTCCTTACACTTACAATACCTGCAGTGAAGTAACACAGCTGGCTAATGAATTATAGGACTACAACTTCTCTCTCTCATACCACGTATCAGTATCTGAAGTTACATTTCAGACATGCTCCACTTCTACCAGGATATCTTTGAGCAGCAGCTATTTAAAGCATCTGTTTCCTTGTTAGAAACTATTATTCTGTGATGTGCAAAGCACAAAGGAATAAACTGAGCCCCTTACTTTGAAGGCACAATTCAGAAGAGCGAATCCAGCTTCGGTCAGTTTGTATGGCAAGCCATACATGTTTAGCTACAATGCACATTCAATAAGGTCAATGACCATCTAAAACACAAAAATTGTGACAGTAACAACAAGCAGCTTTCCATACAGTGGATTTACATTAAAAATTATACATTTATTTTTAACATGTGGACTCGTTTTAATTTCTATGTTTTCACCGCAGATTAGCACACACGCAGAGAGGTGTTGTTTTTAAAAACAGTACCTGAGGAGCTTGCAGAGAAGTTGTCTGAAGAGTTTCTGTTTGAGAATTAACATTCACTTCTGTCTCAAGCTGCTCCTAAAAAAACCCAAAAACACCAACACAGTTACACTACTTCCAATTACAATGGAGTTCTGTATAAACAGCTTTTAACCAGAATACCTTAAATTGTGCATATACAGCAAAAGAAAAAAGGCAAGTATCAGTACTTTCTGCACTGATACCCATCCTTTTATAATAAAAAAATCACCACACTAGAGAATGTTTTGCTGATTAGGAATTTGACATCAACACAAGCTACATCACTTCTCAGTTGTCACTTGTTTAACCACTTAACGCCTTTTATACAGAATCCTACAGGAAAACATTACACATCATTCAGCTCATTAAAGGCAAGAAGTGTAGTATCAAGGAAGACCTTGTGAAAAGCTACTGAATTTGTTGCAAAATTCAACTGCTTCTCCGGTCCTTTCACCGTTCTGCCAGAAAAGCTCTCCCAATACTTTAATGGGCTGAATCAGCTTTCTGGATGAACAGCTGAATGTCAGAGCTTTTCAAGGTAAAACAGTGGGTCCGCATGGCTAAAGGAGGACAGTGGCACATTCTCATTTTAATGAAGACAGCCTGTTAGTTAAAATTGTACCATTTAGTAAACCATAGCCTAACAAAAAGGCATGCATTTCAATGGAGAAAAACCTATCTTTATGTTAAAGAAGTTAATTCCTCCATTTCCTTCTATGGACATTAAGGACATAGATTTAGAGGAAACTGACAATAAAAACTAACAGGATTACCTATGTCTTTTAAAATGATCTTTATCCAGAGAATCTATTTTCAATGTTAGGATTTAGGGCTTACATGCATTTCTGCCTTCACCTGTCTTCAGTTCAAAGAGATTTGAAGGTGACCACATAACAAGCTACAATTCCTCACTTAGGGGTGTGGAAACCATAAACCAAAGCACCTGAACGTTTTAATAGATATTTTAATTTCTCAGCATATTTTCTGGAGTATTCCAAAGACAACAGAATGTGCCCTGTAAAAACTGTATACGCCAAAGTGGAGAGCTGCTATCATAAGGCTAGAGACAGACTTACCATTTCTGTTTGCCAGTAAGCAGAAAAATTGTCTGCTAAATTACAAGATACTGGAGGGACACACTTGAATCTCTGGAAGTCCCCAAAAGGTATGCTGTAACTTCATAAAACAATTTCACTATCAGAGAAGATTTATCTACCATCATTTGAAAAATTTCTAATCTAAAAATTAACAAGGTAGCACCTGGCTTTGGGATTCTCAGTCCAATATGCAAAAATCCCAGTGAAATTCATAGGACAACTGTTCTTTAACTAAGTAACACACATGGAGTTTGGGATGCAGGCAAAGAAAGGCATATAGACACATCCCTGATATGATTTAGCAAATTTAAATGTAAGTACCATCATTAATTTTTTTGCTCATTTTGCATAATACTGTATGAATGACCAGCGAAGAAATCACTGTCCTACGTGACCATGGACTCAGACACAGGTTAGCCTGGCAGCGGGTAATGCACTGCAGTTCATTAATATTGACGTATACATTGAAAAATAACATATCATTTTGATATCTTTATTGGAGAGTCTATACTGTATCTACAAGCACTCTTAGTCATTCCAAGCTGGAAACACAGTAATTTTCACAAGGAAGAGTCCTGATTAATATACACTAAATTGTATGGTCTAGGCATAGATACCTTAGTTTCCATTTTCTCATGCTCATTCAAATCTATACAGCTAGTATCTTCACTTATTTCATCCTGCTGAAATGCAAACAAACCCAGAAACGATTAAAAGTCATAAAAACATACTTTAAAAAAAACAACAAGAAAATAAGATTGTAAAGTGTTTTGAAGATAGAATTAGTTGTAAGACTTAACATGTTAGAGTATAACAAAAAAATTGCTTTTAAGGCATGAATTTAGAATCTTAGAGTTTGTGCTAAGGCAGCACATGTCACATGACTAATATCAGCATAATAAAAAAACCACTAACACCTATGCAAGCTGAATACATAAAGCAGCAATGCAATCAGAGTAGGAAATATACACCCCACTTAAAATATTTGAAACGTGGAATATGAGAATCAGTGCTCTGCAGCTGAAATGAATATGCAAAGTTTTGGACATTGCTATGGCATGATCTCAAAAATCTCAAATACCTCTTCAATTTTCATTTTCTTGGGAGACTCTTCTTTATGGGGAGAAGATGTCCTTTTCACTGCTGTGACAGGGCTAGGCATTTTTGTTGCAACATTTCCTGAAGTTCTTGGTGATGGATTTAACAGATATGCTGAGGAAACAATTCTAGAGATGGTAGGCTTTGGTGGTGGAGAAATGGCTGGTTGTGTGGCAGTTTGAGGAATGCTTTCATTTGAAGTACCTACGGATAAATAATTTATAAAAGCTTCAGCAAGACGAGTTTCAACATAACCATTTCAGTTCAGTCATTGGTATTTTTGGTCTCTATTCAAAACCACTGTTATCAAGTAGGCGTCAAGTAAGTGGTACAGTTAGTGGTATAAGCATCACATCTGGAACAGTAGGTGTGCATACACAGCACAGTTTAGGTTCAAGCTCATTCTGAGACAGAATTCCTGTACCAGATCCAGGGTAGCCATGTCAGTTACACTCTGCTTGGTCTAACTAACCCTGCTTAACAGCCCTGACAGAGCTCTGTGCTAATATAGATATATTATTCTTGGTACCCAAATAAGTTTTACTGTTTCTATACTGTGCCATATATATGCATTGCCAAAGACTGCCTTAATATCAAATCCAAGAGCAGTCCAACACTCCCTTTGTCACTCAAACACAAGGTTTATCGTTTCTTGGGCTCAGAGTACACAATGACAGATACAAAGTCATCACAGAGCATCAGATACAGATCTGACATTCCATACATCCTTCTGAAACATGCTCCATGTGACAAAGCTCTACCTCATCAACTGCCTGCCTCAAAACAGTAAGCACACATAGGGAAATGCTCCAGGATGAGAAAAATTACATTGAGAAAATTCTTCATTAATAGTTATCACATGACTGCTTTTGATTAACCAAAAAGCAAGAATGAACAACTTCTGATATGTTTCCAAATCCAAAAAACAGTCATGCCACTTCAGCTCCATTTAGTGCTCATGGACAAATTTACTCACATTAATGCACCTGTGACTTATGATAAAAGTCAGAGAACAGTAAGACTCCGTCATGCAACATGTCAGAGTGAAATAAGAGAGATCTCATCTTGAGAGAGTTGGTTCCCTTTTCCATCAATTTCTGACTTGCTCCTTGTGTAGAGCTAAAGTTCCATCAAAACAAGAGGAGTAGCTAAGTGAACTTTTTCACCAGATACCTTTGTTCTTTCACTCATTTTTTTTTTAAATATGAAGTATTCTTTTTCTTTTAAAAAATATAGAGGATAAAGTCAGCACACAGTGGGACATATTTGTGAGCATTTTTGGGAACATGTGTTTTGCTTACATCTGAGTCTTTTTCATTCCTAGAATCAATTTCATGAAGCACAAGGAACATGGGAAGACAGATTAGACAGTACAGAACCACCCCTTGGCTTTAACTAAACAACCAAAATTGTTCCTCCAGTTTTAGATAGTTTTTCCTAATTTGACCAACTGAACTACAGACCTGCATCAGGTCACTGGAAAAATGATCGCTGTTGTGAAAGGCAAATATAAAACCCTAAGAATGAAAGAATAAACAAACATCACGGCACAAAATATTCTGCCATGATTTCCCAAGTCCTAAAGAAATTAGTTACACCTGTATATCAAGGAGAATATGTTATAGCACATGTTAAGTAAAGACCTCAAACAGGAAGAAAAACTGCTTTATAAACGTTACAAAATTCAACAGAAATTATATGCTATGCCATTTTCCTTACCCCCTGAGCTTTCACTGGAATTTATTTGTGGCACAGTGACTTCAGAAGCCTGTATGTTGGTCACAGATGCTGCTGTTACAGCTGGCGCAGGACTGCTTCTGCTAAAAAGAGAAAAATGACGAAATGCTGAACGTTAGTAAAACTATGGTGCTGTATGATCCACCTTTCATCACACCATATGCGTGGCCAGTAGCCTTAGCTGATAGGATTTTTACCTACATAATGGATCTGAACTTATAATACTATGTCACAGCAGGAAGACAGAAATGAGCATTGGAAATCTACTATCAAACTTGAACAAGAGAAGCTATTTCAAATCTTCAATCTGAATCACTCCAAAGACAGTTTTTTAGACAAGTAAGAAGCTGCATTTAAAAAAGGCAAAAATTATGGCAATGTCTGCCCCAGTAAGGTGCAGGGGAAAACACAGCATCTATTTTCCAGAAGGATGGAACAAAACCAGTGTAGAAGGACTAAAATAGAAAGTTTGTTTTCAATCTACACACACCATTACAACTATGACTTCAAGTCTGGACTTCCTCAGCAAAGACCTGGGATTCCACATGACAAAAAAAATTGTTTTTTCATATTCAAGAAACGGGGAAGCAGTATGTGCCTAAAAAGAGTTTCCACTGCAAGTGGGATATCCTAGATATCATAGACTTGGTTTAAGAGCATGGTCAGTGGCATCAACTATTGGAAATCATTTACCAAGGAAGACTAACTAAAAGATCACTTGTCAAAAGGAGTAAGTTAAGTTCACTAAACTCTTTTATCCTGTAATATAAACCTAATACTGCACAACTATTGGAGATTGATGTTAACTTCTCTGTGTATCAGCTAGATGAACAAGAGATTCTTGAAAGAACAGAGAGTAGAATCCCATTTACTTGGGCAAATTGACATTTAAGCAGCAAAAGACTTAACACATGAAGTTCAGCTTAAGATAAACATTAATATGTACATTTTGAAAATTATGTTCCTAAGCTTAATTTGCATAGATTTCAGTAGTAATAGCAGTAGCACTACTGATTTCTCAGACAGAAAGCCTAAACTTGTCTCACATTTTGATCCAAAACTCACATATAACTTTCTCACTCTCACACCTCAATTTCCTGCTCACTACCTCACAGCCTCGTACTGCAAGTTTTTATATCACCTTCTTCTTCTAAGCATCTTTACCCAACCTTAAAACTCCTCATCTGAAGTCCAATGCCATGCCTCTTATCTCCCAAATTTAGCCCTGCTCTAGTGCTCAAACTGGAAATAAGAATGTCTGCAAGCTCCGATTTGAAACATTCACACCTAGATAACCGTAGTATCTCATACATGCAGTATTTGCTATGCTTTTAACACAAGTAATTAAGGAACAGAAAGCAGGAACAAGACTGAAAGTCTTCATTACCCCTGAGAACTTCCAGAACTGTTCAATGGACTCGTCTTCATAGCACTAGTAGGCGAAGGCACAGACGTGCTGTTATCACTGTCCATAGACAAGTCTAGGCTGCTGTCATTCAGAGTTGTCAACCTGATCCCTTCTGTTGAATGCTGCAATCCACAAGACAAAAGAAAATTATATTAGTCTTAAGGGCTTAAAAATCAACAAAGATTCAAATGATGTAATAGTTCAGCTATGCAAAATGTTAGCTGTTACATCTGTGAAGAAAAAAGAAACAAGAAGGGATTTAACAGTGATAAGCTTCCACCATGAACTAAGTATGTATGCATGCCTTAAATGCAGCTAAATTTAAGTAATTTTTAGAAAAAAAATTGAAAGCAGGAGTATTTTAAATGCAAAACATGAATGGGCAATTTTCAAATCCTTTTACATGTAAATAATTCACTATCCTGTCACTACAAGCATTTACATTTCCACATTCACAATTCAGATTCATCTGAACCAATGACGTTCAAAACCGTAAGATAAACTGTTATTACATTTAGTGATTATATTTTCAGCTTTATTTCACATTTCTTTATTTTTGTGGGCTTATAGATACTGCTTTCATTATTAACTTCAAAGTAATACTGACATACACCAAAACCACAACTAATACAAAGAATTTAGAGACCTATTTGAACTTAGTGAAGAAGAATATCCTCCTGTGACATAGTACTACTATAAGAGATCTATTACTTAATATTTACATTGTCCTCTGAAATGTATTACAAACAGATTTACACTTGGTTTCAATACAACATTTCCTATTCTTAAAAAAGCAGCTAATATAAAACAGCTATAGTAATAGAGCACATTATTCAGATATACCTAAACAAGAGTATATAACAGTGCTATAGCTACTCACAATAACAAGCAAACCTGTCTTGCTCTCAGATTAAGCTAACACAAAGAAGCAGGGATTTCAAAATACAGACTAAATTGTTAAATTTAGTATCTCCCACCCCCTTCTTCCTGCCTCTACTGAAAGTAAGTCACATCCAACATAACAGCTTAATTAAAATTTTTTTTTAAATTGCTACCATTCTCATGTATGGCCACACAGGTAAACTAGATATTGAGGGAAAAAATTGTCCTGGCTAAGCAATGGGCAGTTTTCTGATGTCAAAACTGTCATTTAGGTCTTTTACTCTTAATTAAAAGAGCATACAATACCAGAAGCTGCCAAGTTGCAGGCTGAAGAATACCTTCCTTCAAATTATCCTCAAAAGTATTCAATCTCAGTTACAACAACAGACTACCATCTTAGAATAAAAGGCAGCAACAAGTTCAACATTCTACTCTGCTTCTGTTTGATGACTTGTGATTTTACATTTAGGAGACTTACAGGAAAGTCTAAGTAATAACAACTCAAGAGGGAAAAGCTGGAGATAGCAAGAATTGCTTGACTAATTGTTCTATTGGTATTATTACAGATGCTTCCTTTAGGTGACCTGCATGTTAAAATAGCAAGAGAGCTTTAAAACCTTAGTATTATACTGTTTTAAATCTGTTTCATTTCAGAAGGCCAACAAAATATGGTATTTCAGCCAGACCTGAAGATACTATCCATGTCGTTAATGTTCTAGGAACTCTAGAATTATTTAGTGCATCTAGTAATACTGCTAACAGTCAAGTGAGATCACATTGCTTATACAGGTAAAACTAAGCTTTCAATATGTGATTTGAGTTCTTTGATTACTAAACCTAAAAAGCTCAGGAATAATTTCTCAATGATGTTTTTATTGCTCTAAATATTAGTCAAGTTTACCTTTTTCTTTTTCTGAAGCACGTGATTAGGTAGCAGTTGGTGAAGTTGCTTACGTTTCACATGCCTTGCAGCAATCTTCATATCCATCTCAAACATTTTGCTGTTTATTGCTTGCCTATAAACTACACAATTAGAATAACATTAAGACATATTGAAGCATTTTGCAAAGTCCACTTACTTGCCCAGGCAGAAACAATTTGCATTTCAGAACATTTATTACCCTCACGACTAAGCATAGCATTTCCTTGTTCTGGAAGAAAAAAAGTGAACTGCCTACTATGCCACTGCTGATAGTACAAACACCAAAACATTAGTTAGGAAACAGGTAACCTGTTTTCCAAGAAAAATAGCTTGCAAGCACACAGTGCTCTCAACTATATTGTTAACAAGTTTTAACAGTAACAGCTCTGAAGTGAATTCTTCATTTCATCTCAAAGGGACTAAAGATAGAAATAAGATATCCTCATAAGAAACACCGTATTTACATAAAACTATTTTCTTCACAGTTGATTCAGCTGCTATTTTTGCAAATGAGTTCTCATTCAGAAATTGAATGCTTGTGTGCCAGCTAACATATTACAAATTATTCTGGCAATTCAGATACCACTACATTTTTATGCAGAAGTGATTTATGTTTGGTTTTTTTTCTGCTGTGTTTTGGGGTTCTTTTGGTTGTTGTTTTACCTTTTTTTTTTTCTAATTATGTCTACTATAATGAGCTATTTCTTTTCACTTCAGAAGATTTACTTCTGGTGAGTCTACATGGTTAGTGCTAGTGAAGGAACTATACTGTCAACCCAGCATCTTGGGTTCAAGTAAAAGCCAGGAAAAATTAAAAATTTGTTGTTCTTTTACATCAACTTTCTATACAATGTTGAACAAAGCTGTGGCAGATGTATGAATAAAAAAAATTGTGTAGATCTTAAATACAAAAACGTAAGAGGTATCTCCCTTATTCACAGTATGTTCTGCAAACTTTAAGGAATCTCATTGAATAGGCTGTGAACGTGTAATTAAAAAGCTGTTGACAGACACACAAAGAGCTCAATGAATATTGCATATTAAAGAGCCTACTACACTAATTTTTGGTACTGAAGAAGCTTATAAAGCCTCTGTGTAAAGATTATACAAGTTACAGTTAAGGCAGGGGCATGCTCAGGAAAGCCAGACATGGTTAAAGCATTCCATATTCCTGACATTAGACCAAAATTTTAGTACAAGGAAAACCTAGCCCAGACTTCATGACTCTCTTCCTCCCCCTGCTCCCACTAAAAAGAAAGCTATTCCACAACTTCATTTTTAAAATAATTCAGTAGTTTTAATAAAATCTTAAGATCTATTCCAAAAGACAAGGCAAACAGAAGTTTTTGGGACGGATTAAAAACAATGAAGACAGACCCATGTTAGTTTGAGATGACAAAGAAACCCACAACACACAAACAGAAATCGTTTGCTAGTTGGTTACTTTTGGAAGTGTATTTACTTATTGAACTGAAAACTATGCATCACAGTCTACAATGATTTTGATTAAATGTTATTTCATTTAAAATTGCATATATTTAGACAAATTTCAGATTTGAATATAGTGCAAATAAATTGTTCAAAATCATAAGTGCAAGTTTTATATTTCTTTTCATACCAAAATTCTCTGACAAGAAAACTACTGAAATATCTGTTTATAAACAATAAAAGACCTGAGAAACTGTAATACATAGATTCCTTCACTCCTTCAAAGCAGCAGCCATGCTGCCTTTTCTATATTCTCAAAAATTAGGATGATATGTCTATAGTTTCACCTTCACCACTTATAATCAGAAGGCACATTCCACCTCTCAAGAAAATAAAAATCCCTTTGACAGAAAAAGGCAGATATGGATATATACACACACACAGATCCCCTACTGCAGCTATATATGACAATAAAGAACTTTCAAACCTTGTCATGATTTACTTAATATATCTACGTATATATTACGTTCACTCATACATCCACACTGGGGGGGGATGAAGGTGTACAATTTTTTCTCTTCCAGATTCTTAGAAATCCAGAGACCAGGGTTGCTTTAGGTAGCACTTGAACCCATTCCTTTAAGGCTCAAATATGTTTATAGAGTTAACTGTAATTTGTTTAAAAAAAAAAAAGATAGAAAGGAACAGTATCTTTGACAGACTTATCTTAGTCTTAAGACTCTGGAGAGTCACACTCTCCAGCTGTTACCAATTCTTTGCTTACGTATTTTTATGCCTGTTCTGTATTATTTTCGTGAATCAAAAAGTAAACATCGGAAAAAATCAAAATGGTTTCTTGCACTTAGTGTTGGATGTGAAAGTTACTCAACCAACTAGCTAGTATAAAATGCCATGGAATAAAAGGCATTTTGTTCTAGAGTCTGCTAGATACTCGGCTTTAATGGACTGAGAAATTCAGTTTCATCAAGCAATAAAAAATATTTAAACTACACACATATTGTCAAAATGAGGTTAGGCGACGTAGTTTCCATATGATAACAAACTTGTCTGTTTAATAAAGATCACAATATAATGTACCATTTTTAGTGAGATCTGAAATATTTGTGTTCATCATTTCAATCAGTTTTAATGAAAACAAGCTGAAAACGATTAGTCTGAAGCATCTAGAAGCATTAAAACTCATTAAAACTGTATTTCATTACATAACACCCTAATTCCTTTGCTAAATTCTTGTAGTCTATGTCTACATACAATTCTACTACTATAACAGAGTATGTTATAAACAAAGACAGTAACTTCAGCAACTTTATTAATAGCAGAACATCTAGAAAGCAAAACTCACCTGTGTCTGTAAAAGACTGAATGTCGTAGGTAAGATCGACACTTAAATTTTCTGAATTTTCGGTTTTCTTGAACACCAACCCAATCACCCACATTGTACGGTATTCTTCCCTGGAAAATTTTACATAAAACAGTCATATAATACTGACAAAAGAACTGAGTAATCTAGTAAGTTATCTGCTGCAACAGACAACAGTTGTTCATTTTAGCTCCACTAGCAATGGGGAGCTAGCCACAGAAATACAAAAAACAAAACTGGCTTAACGACATTCCCTTCTCATTCACAATACAAAAAAAGTCATGAAACACTGATACATCTATCGCCAGCAAATGTGATGAACAACGATAATCCGTAGATTACTTATTCAACTGTGCTTCCGTATAGATTCTCTCATTTTTGGGAGTTACAACTAGCCATCGCAACTGTGAAGGAAATAGATTTCAAAGGTAACAGATCTGAGAGGACAGATTTTCAGCACCTGACCCTGAAAGCAGTCAGAATCTATTCCCTGACTAAACAACTTCCATTTTGCCACCTAAGCTTGTCTTCAACTGTCAAATTTCCTAGCTGTAACTGACCACAAAGCGCAGTTTCCACGTAAGAAAACAGCTCATCTTCACACAGTATACATAGAAGCTGAACTATTACACTATTATAGAATATAGTGCAACACTTCTATAGCAGCTCAAGCCATTTAATGTTTTAATTCAAATGTCTTTTCCCTATAAGGCTATTTCAGAAGAACACTTTTTCCAATCAATTAACGAACAAACTTAGGCAGGCAGGTGAAAGAACATACATTGTTTACACTGGGAAAAATGACCTTTCCTAAAAGCATTGCCCACATCAGGTCCTCTGAAATAAGAGCTAAATCGGAGCCTGTGATTATGCAGGCAGTTGTAGCTGTATTTACCCACTAAAATGGTGTTGAAGAGGTAGTGCCTACTTTTGTCCAATTTCACTTGGAACATGCATGTCATTTATGTATATAATTTTAAAAGAGTAGCACCATGCTGTCACTTGAAGCAGTTATGTCTGGAAAAGGCTGTGTGAAAGGTAAACAAGGCTTTTCACGTATTCGCAGCAAAGACAAAAGTTTCTTCTCCATCTTTCACTTCACACAAATATGACTCCTTACAAGTTAATTACAACACTAAAAAGAGTTCTAGCCCACACACCTGCAATCATTGTTTTGAGTAGGGGAGGAGGGAGTGGCAGAAGGGGAAGGAGTTGAAAAACATATATAAACCTAAACAATTTGTAGTGCTTGGTGTTCGCTCCACTGTTTCCACGTCCCAAGGAATTCTAACATCAGCCATTGCCAAGTTTTAATGACATTCATCTCAACTGCTAAATTTAGTAACATTAAATGTACTTAGTTACTCAAGATTTCAGTTCTGCTGTCTGATGTTCTAGACAATTCTCAGTGCTGCCTCATAATTAAAACTGTCTTACCAATTGATACTAGATGTTCAAACAACAGCTAAAGCAGCAGTAACTAACGCCTATTACTGGCAAGAAATTATGCAATTAATAGTTATTAGCAAAAATATGTTCTTTCCTTAAAGTTCTTTTCCGGCTTAGAAACATTTTTATACAGAATAAATAATATCTAATTTTACAAATAGTACTTAAGAGTTGAAAACTGTTTGGCTTTAGGTGCTGTCATTAAAAATTAATCCATTTAAGATTCTGTAAAAATGCTAGTTTATTTATTAATGAATTGATATTTTAGCTAAGTTAGTTCCTCACCATTACATGAAAAAACAGTTTTTCTTACTTGTCAGGATTCTCCTTGGGTGCTGGGAATGACTGTGGATTCACATGAGCCAGTGTAATGAATTCATTCTTCTCCAGGTTTCCAACTAGAATACGGATTTTTGATTCCACCAAGCCCACCCTGCATAAATGTTATTTATTAGCAAGTTCTCATTAATATGAAATAATAGAAGTATCTAACTTCATATATCAGGGTAAAATCTTTAACATTCTCCTTACACTAATATTTGAGACTACAAAAGAACTAGTGCGCTATACATGACAGATTAATCCAGATCAATAAACCAAGTGAACACGTTACAAAAACTAATGTAAGGGAAGCTTAAGAATGGCCTGAAGGTCTCATTATGGCCTGATTTTACAAATGGAATTAAATAGCAAGACATTACATATCAGTAAAAGGCAGTCAGCAAGAAACTCCAACATATTTCTCCAATATTCTTTTGGCTTCAGATGATAGATTTTAAAGATGAAAAAATTCCCAATATCTGACAATCTCAAAACTTCCCTAATAAAAAGAGCTGAAACAAGGGAAAGAGGCTTTTTTTTTTTTTGAGAAACAGTATTTCTAGAGACTAAAAACATATTTGCTCACACTGCTTATTTAAAAAATGCACAGAGCTTAAAAAAATAAGATATGTAAAGTGAACCTGACAGTGCTGTAAAGAAGCAAAATTCAAGCAACAACCTTCACTCCCTGGTTCTTCATTTTTACTGTTTTTCAGCAGTGTACCATCTTCATCCATTTAATTTTGAAACACTGAAGCTCCACTTTGTTTCATTAAAAAGTACGCTAGATATTCCCTTGCATCCAAGGTTGACAGTTTTTTTGTTTGGTTTTGTTGTTTGGTGTTTTTTGTTTTTCTTTTAAATAGCAAGCATTATACTCACCATTCTAGTCGCTGTTTTTCTGTCGGTGCGCTTGCTAGAAGTACAATATAATGCCTTTGGAGATAAAGACAATACGCTATTCTATTTATACTTCTAAAACTAGACATTCAAACCTTAACATTAAAACTTTGCAGTAAGTTCTACATTGCAAACTACAGATTATTAGCTTAAGTATATACCCTATAATAAAATTAAGTATTGTAAGTAGACAAAGGGGCTATGTCCCCCAAGCGTGCGACTAATGGACTTCTTGAAACATTTCAGATTTTAGGGACATTTGCAACTATACTTTAATAACAATAACCTTAACAATAAAAGGCTAGGAACATAGCACTAGTTGAAAACAATACAGAAATTTCAATATCTAATGAGATCAGGGATTTATACTAGGGATTTCTTGCAAGTAAAGACAACTGTACACAACCATCCATACATATGTCAGTAGTCTTAGTCGCAACATTATTTCTGAATAGTTAGAGAGTGGTTAGCATATATTTGTTCGTTCAAAGTCAAAAATAACATGATCAAGTGTGGTTAAAAAATTGTGTATCTGCATTTTAGAACTGTCTGAAGACACTTATCTGAAACTTCACAAGGAATGTTTCCTCTGATGATAATTCTTAAGCTCTCAATTATATTCCAGGATAATCAGTGTATACCCACTGTAAGTAAATTTCAAACAAACAGTATACAAAGCAAGAATGGTATTTTAAACAAAGAAGCCCAAGGACAGTGGAATGGGGAATGATTACTTTTAACTTGAGTTCATAATGAGGGAGGCAGGGGAACCTTACATGTCTACAGTCAGGTTTTTCAGAAGTTTAGCTTGGAAATCTGTTTGAACATCCCAAGTCATCCAACTTGGCATTACTCTATACTGATAGAGTATACTTAGGGATCTTCAGAGCAGGATTCAAAGAACAGTAGTAACATGAGGAATTAGCCCTAATACATATACCTCATAGAAAGGAACACAAGGTCAACGATGGTGAAAAGCTATGGTGCCAAGAGTCCTCTCTGATGCTACAGGTCTTCAAATAGTAACAGTAAATCAAAAGCAACAGATCCAACCAGTTAACTACATGTTTCTGTGCTCATCTTTACAGGGCAAGAGAAAAAAAAACAGCTGCTAAATGCTACTTTGAAATCAGTCAGAGAATGTCAACAAAACAAGAGGACTGGAAAAGAGATTTGGAGAAACTGCTTCCCCCTTCTGAATAGGGCGTTTTATCTAAATTTTTTTTTGCATCTTTTTTAACTGCTTCATACAAAAATGTTAAGGATTTGTTCCTTTTCCTGTTATCTTATTGAAATCCTCATTTTAGTTACTTGCAAGATACCATGATTCAATCATTTATATTCCTAAAATACCTGAATTCTTGCTTGGGGGGTAGAGGGGGGCAGTGTAACAAATTCTCTCAGAAAGTTAACTCTCTCTGGGAACATACATTCTGCTGACTCAAGTGGAATTTAGCAATGATACAGGAAGTCTTAAAAAATAATTTTAAAAAAAGAGGGAGAAGAGAATAACAGTCCTTTACTCAAATTCTGTATGACAAGTTACTCATCTCTAATATCAATTTCTTCCAAGGAACACCAGATATGCAACTATCATCCGTAAGATTCCTACATCATACATACCATGAACACTTGCAGAATGTTTCATTTCATAGGAAAGACAACTTAAGCTTTTTGCTGTTTTTAACCACGTAAGAACTGAAAGAGACAAATCTCAAATCTGCAAATATTTGAAGAAACTAATTTTCCAGTTACTCATTAAAAGCAGCTCTTTGAAACAAAATTCTGAAGAACAACTAAAAAAAATTTAATTTGGCTATATGTAAGCCTCAACTAGCTGGTAAGCACCTAGGAAATAAACCCTAAGCCTAATTTATGAAAATAAGTATAATGATTAGATACTTTTGCTCAGGTAGTACTAGCTGAAAAAAAGAAGGAAAAGGAAAATACGCAATTTCTCCCTGCCTGCCCCTCCCCGACTGTTAAACAGTGCTGAGGGGGGATTAATCACTGGGAATATGCTATTGCCATTTTCAGTAAAATATAAACAGTAAACAGCACAAGCTGTTAAAAATTAAGACATACTTAGTTTTAGTGTCTCAAGGTCTCACTTAAATTTTACAAAGACAAGACTTGTTATCAGTTCTTCATTTGTAATTTTATCGCAATGAATATGTCTAATTCAGAGTATCCATTACTTCATGATAAAGAAAAACACAATTCTGAAGTTAAGCTTCTACCTCTCAGTGGTGATTTTTAGATGCAGGGTATTATTTTAAAGTATATTGGTTTGGCCAAATTACCAATATTTGGTCAAATTGGTCAAAATACACTTTGAATTATCCAGTGCTTTAGATAAAGTCCTATCAAGGCAAGTGTTCAAAGTACCTTTCTAAAAGGTACATTTATATTCTATCTATTTAGCAGGATATCTGTCTTTACAACAGAGAAACAATAAGCTAGAGCTCATTAAATGAGTGTTATTTATCTCATCACCATACTTCCCTCTTGGTTTTAAGCTCTAATAATTTCATTCTCATTTAATACTTCATACTCATGTTGTATCCATATTCTTGCCATTTCCCTGTAAAACACCATATCCAGCAAGCGTATGTTCTTTGTTGTTGTTTCCCCCCACCATCTGAAAAATTTAAACCTACATGAAGGGCAGATAACACACATAACTCCCTAACTCCAAGTAACTGCTGTCATTTCAAAAATAAGAAAAATAAATTAAAACAACTTTCCCATTTTCCCAATTTCTAATCTGCTCCTGTCATGCAGGTATGTATTAGCCTGTAGATTTCCTTAGTCACACATCATTGAAATTTGTTTATTTTGAAACAGAGCTAACAAGTCAAAAGTGTTCACTATCAACATAGATGTTTAGGAACTTATTTCCATTGAAAGTGTTACAGATTACTAAAGCTATGCTTTCAGGGAAGAAATGTTTTTAAACGTAGGTCTCAGAGCAAGGATCAGATCTTCTCTTATCTGGCAGAGCACTACAC